CCGGTTTTTCCCGAAGTCGCAAAAGTATGACATCACAACATTCTGATTGGTCACTTGCAATGTTGATCCTGGAACAACCTTTAGTATGATGATCTGGGAACAACACCAACACGAGGATATCAGATCGTGCGACCCTCCCTTCCATTGCCTCTGTTCTGCAGGAGGGATCATGGAGCAGATGATTGATTCAACCAGCCCCTAAAAAACTTGCTCACTGTGGGGATAAGAGCTCTGGGTCCCCGGTCACTGAAGCCGGTCACGTTCTGTGGAAGAGGTACGCTGATGACAGATTTAAAGTAGAACAGCATAATGCAAAGGGAGGTGGAAATATTAAAAACTGTCACCTGCAAGCTGCTGAACGCAGACATTCATAACATGACCAGAAACATCATCCAGGCCAGAAGCCTCAGCTAAGTCTGCTAAACTGCTTAATGCGCATGAGTGAAGTGCACTTCAGTGTGCTTCCATCACCTGGGAGGAAGGATATTATATCACCGAGCATCCTCGTGATTATACAAAAGGCCAGCATTTGTTACAATCATGAAGGCTCACAGTTTGTTTGTGCAGAAACAACAGCTGGCGCGTTGCCTTCATGCTGCAAATGTGTGTGTGTTCTCACACAAACAGGCGTGTTTCCATCACTTCAAAGGACACAGCATTACATTAACATACATTTCCTGCGGACCGTGAACCCAGTGTGCGCCTGACATTTGCTGTTTCTGTCTGTGACGACTTTTCGTGCATGTAAAGGAGAGCTGAGTGTGTTTGAACTGATGTTCACACAGCACGAGAGGAACACAGAGAAACAAAGCTGAAACTGGACTCCCTCACGCTTCACGCTGGTGTAGTGTTACATTACTGTAAAATGACCCGAGTTACCATTCATAATTTATAAGAAGTACGCAGCTAATATTAAGTTTTATTCTTATTTTGATCAATTATTCTCAGCTTTTAGAACAGCCTCAGCAGCCATGCATCCCTCTTCCTCCCTGTTTATCCTCATTATCAAACATGTAGTTGATATAGAAATAATATTTAGCAGGATAAAAACGTTGTTGAGCTTCAGAGCAGCAGCTTTCTGCAGCACTGGTGGAGCTGAAAAACATCAGAATGATTATTTAAATGTGACATTTGCTCTAACTGT